CCCAGGAACCCCACAGGGTCAGAGGGCAGCAAGGAGCAGTGGCCCCTCTACAACTCCAAGGAGCAGAACTTCGTCCGCATCAGCACAGAGCCGCCCCAGGTCCAGGGGACATCGCCCGCCCAGCACTGCGGCTTCTTAGCATCGCTGCTCAAAGAGACGCCGAGCCCCACAGGTGAGCATCAGTAGGGTAAGAGGATTGCAGTGCTAGAGGGGAAAGGCCTCGTGTCACATTCCCCGTCCCCCCCGAAGCAGGCAGTTCCCCTATCCTGGGGCCAGATTGGAGCTGGCACACCTTATAGGGAAAATTCCCTGCCCTCCCAAGCCAGCCAGTCCCCTAGATCTGAGGATGGATTACAGCTGGCATCTCCTAGAGGGGAAAAGCCTTGTGTCCCATTTGCCACTTTTCATGTGAACATGGGATGATCCTCTGGCCTCCTAGAGGGGCAGACACCTGTGAGGAGCTCTCCCATCCCCTGAGGTCCCCAGAACCCACGTGCTGTGGGGCAGCCCCAAACTCAAGCCCAGTTTGTGGTTGTTTGGGCCTTTTCAATGGCAGAATGACATCTGCGTTTCCTCCCCCAGCTGAGATCCACAGAACTGCTAACCCCTCAAGGAAGAAGGAACATGAGGAAGAGAAGGAGAACTGAGCCCCATGGAGGAAGCCAGGACCTGCAGCATCAAATCCCAGATGTCTACCACCAGCTGAGCAAAGGGAGTAATTCCCCCAGCTGGGAGTCAGCAGGTGGCTGCTGTAGTAATTAATCTGGCCACTAGACGGCGATATCATCCTATTCACTAGCCCACGAAAGCTTATGCTCAAATAAATTTGTTAGTCTCTAAGGTGCCACAAGTACTCCTGTTCTTTTTGCGGATACAGACTAGCACGGCTGCTACTCTGAAACCTTTCCAGGCATGTTTCCTAGCAGTATGTCATTCAGCCATTAGATGTCGCTGTGTGCAGCATATCGCTCCAGCCAATGTGGTGTCCCTGGTAAACGAGGAAGCCCACTCTGGACCGAGAGCTGTGTAGAAGACTGTTTGGGTTAGTAGCTGCTTTCTTTAATAAACGCCTTCTGTTATTATTCTTTATTATGTGCGTCACCAAGTGAGATAGAAGAACCCAGGAGTCCTGACTCCCACCCCCCTCCAACTCAGTAGGCCCCACTTTCGTCCCCAAGCCATGGATTGAACCCAGGAGTCCTGGCTCCCAGCCCCCCCCACTCCAATCATTATACATTGCGAAGTGACACCACTTTTCCCCGCCTGAGGTTCTGTCAGTTTGACTGGGTTACCCCAGACGTCTCCATGGCCGAGCAGAGATCTGGTGGGTTGCTGACCCGAGACGTGCCAGGGAAGTGGCCTGTGCGTGACTGAGAGGACCCGGGGCTGTGATTCATCCTCTTTCAGCGGCACTGCGGTGTTGCTCACCCCAGGTTGACAAGCCCCTGCTAAAAGCTGCCTGCGTT